GCCTGGGAGCCACAGGATCCCTTCCCAAGCGACTCTGCCTCCCGCTGGCTTGGTTTCCCCATTTTTAGAAGTGAAATATTGATTCTCTTCAAATAAGTGTTATTTACATTGAGATAGTGATGATTATTTTAAGTAACATTTCAGTCATTCAGAATAGCGTGGAGGGCAAGGGAGGGAGGGGAGGGCAAGGAGAATGGTATTGCATTTATAAAAATAAAAAAACTTTCTAAAGGACAAATCATCTTCCAGGCACTAATTCCTATGTGGAAATAAAGTTGATATTTTCCAAATGCCATCTGGGACTTAAAGGCAATGAACATAAAAATCTTACAAATGGTGTAAATACCTATTTATTCACGGCGTTCGTTACTGCATCATCTATCGTTTTCCATTCTTTTCTTAACTTCCTTCTATTCACTGTCCAGGCTGATGTCATCTGTTTAACAGATCATGGGTGCCAGCAAGAGCTCGTCTACCTACCCATCTTTAAGTGTCTGCAAGATGTCCTACACCGGCTGATATGTAACAAATACTAGTCGATCATAACTAGGAGTATCTCTTTTTTCTTATAACATGAACCTACTTTCCTTTTTAACTTGAACGCCTCAAAGCATTTAACAGAAGTTTCATACATATTCTAAGCACCTTCGGGTGACAAGCAGTGCAGGGCGGTGCATCGAGATGCAAAACACAGGCTTTGGAAAGACCCTGCCTGGGTTTCGGGACTCAGCCTGACCACGTGACAGCCGGGCAACTTCGGGTAAGTCACTGACATCTCCAAACCTGCCCTTACTTCACCTGGGAAAACTGGAAAAAAAAGAATACCTGTCCCCAAGGTTTTGTGTCAATGAGCTAAATGGATGCAGAGGAACCTGGCACAGTGCCTGACTCATAAAAGGCATTAAATAAATATTAGTTTTCTCTTCGCCAAATCTCCCCCACCCCCCGCATCCCCAGCACACACACACACCCCACACACACACTCTCACACTTCATCAGTGAGTCAATAAATGTCTTGCTTTAAACTACAAGCAGAGCGTAAGAGCGCCAAGCCCTCGGCGCTCCGGCGCTGGCAGCCTCTCCGCCGTGGAATCCCTGGTTATTTCCTTTCTCAAGGAGGAGATGCTATTCTGGTTTGACAGATCCTTTCCTGGACACACTCTCAGAATTCCCTACGGTTCTCATCGTGGCTAACGGATAACAATGCGGAGACGCTGGGAGTGAGTAATCACTCCTAGCTAAAAACTTCCTTTATTGACTTCTCAAACTTCCCGTCAGGATTTTGCTGCCAAATGAGCCCCTTGTTCTAGGCAACTATTAAAAGTTACTCTCCCGAAGCTGAAAAACACACTCAGCCTTCCGCAAGAGATCACACCACCCTCAGTTACCGGCCACTTAGGAGACTAGGAGGAATTAGACTATTGGAAATATTTGTAAAATTAAATTGTTTACATTTCTATGTCCTTCCTTAACCCTTAAAATAAAAACAGGACTGAAGAAAAATATCTCTTAATTATTCTTTATACAAGATAATGCAGAGGATAGTAACATGATGTCAACGAAAGTTTATTTAGTGTCTAAAATGACAGCATTATCTCTTCCTCGTTGAAAGAGAAACTGAAAGCAAGATAGTAACAGCTTCCTCTGTGGCTTCCAGTTAATAGTATAAGGTTTTCTATCACGTTGCAGTGTCTTGCGTCGCTGTAGCCCAAGCACACAGCACAGTGCCAAGAACCGAGCTGGCAGTGAACACATTTTTACTGAATGAAATGAGTAAATTAGCATTTGCTTTTATCCTGGGACCAACATACGGGGCCTTCAGTGCCCCCAAAAATAAAACACACAATCCCATCCTATGTGACCCACGCCGTTGGCACCAGAATCTGAGATCCGCCTTCGGAACGAGCAGGGAGCGCAACTTCTTTCCGAGGCAATTCTGCTCACTTTACACATTAGTCGCCCTACGGTTTTCCTCCTCTTGTTTTTGTACTGAGGATATTTGTATAAAAACAGAATCTTTGTTGCTTAGTAATTCATCTGCTCCAGCTGCTCGTGTTCTGTTCCCAATCAAAATTCTCCGTTCTCAGCCCTCTCGTCGTTTTTACAAGGAGTTGAGTGACTTGGCCCCTGCACCGCGCCGGGCCCCACGCTCCCACGCGATGCTCCTCTTAGTGTTTCTATCTTGAGGTGACGTATGGCTGTGTCGCATATAATCTACCCGGGCTCCTCACACAGTGTTCACTGACTAACAGAGGTCCCCCCATCCCAGTTCCAAGATTCTCTAGCTTAGATCAGGGCAGGGTTACCCCCAAGTCAGAGAGGGTACCTGGGGAGGGTTCTGAGGGCCAGAAGCCCAGAGAAAAATCACAAAAGCGTAGGCTGGATCCATTTAAGTAGGTAGGAAAATATTGTGTTAGAGGTAAAAAGCAAGTAGGAAACTTGATCGCCTGTTACTGCTAATTCGGTTTAAAGCACTTCATTAATCACACCTATTTTTCAAGGTCTTCTCATGGCGTGCCTTTCCATCCCACAGGCTTGCCTGTCCCTTTCCCACAGCTGTTTCTCTAATTTCTTACTGTTTCTCCAAAAAGGACAACAAACAACTTCCTAGCCACTCATCATCATAAACCCTGACATGTTAAATTACCCCCTGCTCAGTTTATACACCACACTGGGCCCATAAAACTCCTCCCTCACCAGCAACCCACCTCGCACACAATTTTCACTTCCCCTTTTCCCTGCTGGGAAGGACGCTTCCTACGGGAGCCACCCAGCCACACCCGCCACCTTCCTTGGGTGCAGGAGGCCCATCTCCCAATCCCAGGTGAGAGATGGGGGGGGGCTCCTTACCTGGAAGGCAGTTGCACTCAAAAGTGAAGTCGCTGGTCTGCCGGCAGGTGCCTCCATTGACGCAGGGCGAGGGGGCGCAGGGCACGTAGGCGCTGTCACAGTGCTGGCCTGTGAAGCCCTGGGGGCACTGGCACTGATAGGAACCGGGTAGGTTGAGGCAGGTGCCACCATGCTGGCACTGCCCTGGAATGTCACATTCGTTGATATCGGTCTCACATTTCTGCCCAGTGAAGCCTGCCGGGCATTTGCAGGAGAACTGGTTGGCCACGGTGGTGCAGGTGCTTCCGTTTGCACAGGGCTGAGACAGGCAGGCGTCAGTCCACTGGCACGTCTTACCTGGAAGAAGGGTCACGGAGCTCAGTCCTGCTCTTGGAAATGGGAGTGGGCCCCATCCTCACCCCCCCCAGTGGGTGACATCGGGGGTCACTGCATGGAGAATCCCTCAGCTCTCTGAATGAATAAAATGTATTCATCTTTCCCACAATACATAGTTACTAAACAGACCTCATGAAGGATATAAACAGGTCAACACGACTTCTTTTTCCTGTAAACACAACACACATGCGCACGTTTTCTGGGAAACGTGGCTTGGCTAGGAATGCTGCTTGATGTGTTTGAAGGGGAGGAAGAATCTCTGAGTCCTTGTATATAAAAGCTAGACAAAACCAGAAACTGTCATGAGACTTTTTAAAAGCCTAGAAAGGTAAGTCTTGTGGACTTTCAGGTAGGAAGGTACCGGAAGGAAGCAGCGAGGCTCCAACGTGCTGGGTCCTAAGGCAGGAGGCCAAGGGAGCAAAGCAGACAGAGAGGGAAAAACACTCCCATGCTACTAATAAATGTGGGATTCATGTGGCTTTTTGTTGCAATTAGCTTAAGCTTTTTAAACACACACACACACAAGCTGTGAGAATACCCTGAGTCCGTGACTCCCAGTGGTTGTCAAAGTGAACACACAAGTCTTTGGCCCCCTGGGGAAGCACGTGAGAGTCAGGACAGCTTTCCTTTGCGAGGTGACACGTGAGCACACAAAAGTACTCTCTGCCCACCCCGGAATGTCAATCAAAGGGGAAAGGGGCAATAAAAACGTGGGCGCAAAACACGTATCTCAGGGCGCTAGGCAGAGAGAAAATGAAAAAAACTGCTATTTCTCTCCCTATTTTTCTTCATTCCACCGAGAGGTACCTACCTACGGTGGAGAGATTAAAATGGTTCTTCCAGCAACCACGTGTATCAGAGTATTTGCCTGTAACTGCAATAGAAGGTCCCTGAACTTGGCTTCCCAGACATGTCACGTAGTAGGGGCATTAACTTCCTGCCTCTGTTTGAAAGCGGAATCATTTTTTCCCATTAGAAATAACTGAATTAATCCGTTCCAGACCCCCAAATGATTACATTTTAACTTTTCTTATATACAGTACATGTCTACTGTGCTGGTTAATCTATAAACAAACACTTATTTTCTTAAATCTATCAAACTACGCCCTACTAGTCTTAAACGAATCCCTCTGAGCACTCATTCCAGGGGTGTCTTTCAGGAGGTCAGCATGCGGCATCTTCGCTTTTTCACAGGTCGCTAACTGCTTTTTGTTTATCCAAATCAGCAACAGTTTTTCTACCTCTTCAATTGCCTGTGATCATTGTTTCTTTCCCGCCCTTAGCAACATTAGCACTCTTGAGGGCCTCTTTATGTTTCAAAATTGTGCTAATCATCCATTTCACCAGCAACAAAAGCAAAAAAACAAAACCAAACCAAAACAAAAAACCCACAAAAATATTCACAGCACAATTTCCTGAGATGTTAACAATGGGAGGTTTAGCAGGTAAACTCACTGGCATTCTCTCCTTTGTTTGTGGCCCCAGAGACACTTTTTGTCATGCTGATGAATCAGCAGGAAAGGGTTGTCAGGTGTAGAACTAAAGTTTTGTTCAACAACCAAGACTTTTTTCCCCCTGAACAACTTGGTCAAGAACGGAAGGGTTCCAGATGGGAGACACTTGAGAACTAGGGTTTGACTGTATTCTCTTAACCTCCAAATCTCTTCAGTGACTACAGCATCGATGCTATTACAGTCATGATGGAGATAATGGATCACCCTATTACCTGCCCCTACCAACACCCTTTAATGGAAAATCAATAGAGCCAGAATTCCAAACTGACTGATCCAGTCTAGTTTTCTGAGTATGTTTTTCTTTTTTTGCTCATTAGATTTACAGAGTCACTGGTGTCGTGAGCGATAAAATGGTTCCCTTTTCTCATCTAACTTAATAAACATGGTTCATTTTGAATAGAGCTCAGGTCTACCTTGGAAGAACCCATAATCTAGTCAGATGAGAGACATGTAAGGAATTAATTACAATAAATTGTGACACACGAAATAACAGAGCATAAAGACTGACTGCCTAATGGAGTCATGAAAGGGCCAGTGAGACAGAGTTTTAAATAGCATTGGGCAATCCCCAATTACGGAAAAGCACATTCCCAGCAAAGCATGGACGCGACAGGACATATGACATTGTCAGGAAATGATGAGGATGAACGTGTGACTAAAGCCGGAAGCTTGCGGGGCGGCGAGGCTATGGAAAGAAGCGAGGTCTAGGCTAGGAAGGGCTATAGAAACCATTTGAGGGAGTTTGCGCCTGGCCCTGTGGGTGACGGGAAGTCACAAGGCATCGTAAGCAGGTGAGTTTATGAGGGGATCTGCATTTATAATGAAAGGCGCGGCAATGGGACAGGTGCACACGACGGGCAAAGGCGAGGAGACCGGTTAGGAAATGACTGCGGGCGTCCAGGTGAGAGGGCAGGGGCTTCAACTGCAGGGCAGGAGAGCAAATGGAGAGGAGTAGACAGGTGAGAGGTAACTCAGAGGGTAGACTGGGAGACTGAGTCCAAGGGGGTGAGGGCGAGGGCGTTTCTGGTTTGAAGCGCTTGGAGGGAACCGCGATTTAGGTCAACATGTTGAGTCTGAGGTACCTGTTGACTTTCCAAGGACAATGTGCACTGCGTAATTAGAAATATGAGTCTGAATGTCAGGGTCAGGGTGGAGCCATAAAGATGACTACCAGCGTCCTCAGCAACCGATGAAGACAAAGACCAAGACAGATAAAGCAATCAGAGAGAGTGCAATTCCCCGGGGGGGAGGGCGGCAATGCGGCTTAAAAGAGGCCTCCAAGCAGCGTTCCAAGAACCCAAACATGCCACTGATGTGGACAAGGCAATGCAGAAGCAAAAGGAACAACCAGCGTTCAGAAAGTCAGAGGTGCCAACGCCCTGAATGTCTAGGGAGAGGAGCTTTCAAGAAGCGAGTAATTAACAGCACAACCAGCTTTTCTTCCGGCGACAGCACTGTGATTCTGGTCCCCAGTCCTGGGATGTATACTTTCAGCAATCAAATGCGTCTAAGTATCTGACTCTTTTTCATTCTTTTTTCTCCTCTCTTAAAACTCTCAAAAAGGAAGCTAAAAATAGTCGTCTGGAACATTCCGGTTCCTTACCATAATGTTAAGTATGTACCAAGTTGGGGGACCCGTAAGAGCCAGATGTCAAGATCTAAAAGATACTAAATAAAGACGCACACTGAGAAGAGAAAAGCATTTGCCCGAGTCCCGTCTGATACCTGTAAAACCAACTTGGCAGGCGCACTCGTAGTCACTCTGGCTGAGCACGTGGCAGGTGCCTCCATTCAGACAAGAGAGAGATGCATAGCAGGGGTGAGTGGTTGAGTGCTGGCAGTCCTCGCCCGCGAAGCCCGGGGCACACTGGCACGTGGCTTTTCCCAGCATGGCCTGGGCCACACACGTCCCACCATTCTGGCAGCGGTTCTTCCCACAGGGGTCTCGATCTTGACAATATTCTCCCAAGAAGCCCTCTGGACATCTGTGTGGAAAAGAGAGTAGTCCATGAAAAGACTTTACTTCTTGTAAGTCCAAAAACTAAGAAGATAACGCATTCCAGCCAAGAAAACACTAGGCTGAGAGGCCTGAAAGTACAACTGTAAAACTGTCTTGCCTTAGGAGAAGTATTTAGAGAACTTAGCCACATATCCCCACGTCCTTGTGAGTCTAGGCTGGGGACAGAATACTAAGTGGGTGACCCAGCATGGTCTGCCATGGCCAGTCAGCATGACTCAGATTTAAGGCAAAAGACAACCTGAGATTTTTTTTTTCATAGACATACAGGCTGCTATGATGCAACAGCACCTTTTTATGCAGCGTTGTTGACACTTGTCTGTTTAATTTCATTAACGTTCTCATTTTGATGAAGGCGTCCGACACCATGAACACATTCACATAACGCACGACGTGACCCTCTTATCTTCTCCTGTTTAAAATACATAAAATACTGGACTTCCGGTCAAGGTGGTGGCGTAGTTAAGCGTGGTACTCACGTCCTCCCACAACCACATCAAAATTACAACTAAACTACAGAACCACCATCATCCAGAACCACCCGAAATCTAGCAGAATGGAAGCCCTCCAACTAGGGATTTAAAGAAGAAGCCACATCGAGACTGGCAGGAGGGGCAGACAAGAAAAAGCCACAGGAGTTCATTACCACCAAACCAGTATCACATGAACTGTTAAAGGGAAAAAGAAGTGAAGGGATTAGGAGCGCAAACTGCCAGGTACAAAACAGTCACGGACGTGGGAAGTTCAGCACAGGAGTACAGGCAATAACGTTGCGCTGACTAAGGCGCCATTCGATTACCGAGGGGAACACTAAGTAAAGTATATGACTGTCTAACCGCTAAGCTGTACACCTGAAACCAATACAAAATAATATTGAAAGTAATCTGTAATTGGCAACAAAATAAATGAAAACCTGCAAAAGAAACGCCACCAAAAACACCTGCCCCTATCGGCTTACTCTCCTAAGTTCCACGTACAGAACCACAACTTACTTTTGTGTGAAACTAGACCTATTGTTGGTATAATAATAAAGATTTAACTTCTTATTTAAGATGTCCTAAAGGCCTAGACATCAGCCTCTTTCTTGACCTTAAAACATGTACAACTCTCTTTTAACCTACATTTTCCACTGGGCCCCATTCCCCTTTCCAAATTCTTCCTGCACGGCCAAACTTCTATAACTAGTTCCACAGGTTATTTTCCCTTTCTTTTCCATCTACTCCTTGCTTGTCTCTTTCTACTTCCCAGTGAGAAGCATCATGTTTTCCCTTCTGCTATGTCTAATGTATGTTCCTTTCTTCTTTCTGTGCTTCAAAGACCTGCTCAAAACCCATGCCCTCCAGTCGGCCTCTTCCAAACCATCCTGACCCAGCCCTGGTCCCTCCAACAGCAGGGGCAGGGCCTGCTATGAACCACAGTATTTCCATCGGCGCGGTTCTCCTTCATTTAAGCCACTGTCTTTCCTGTGCCTCTGTCAAACTCCCATTTGATTTTGTGTGTGGGGCGCAGGGGGGAGAGGAAGGGCACGTCTTGAGACCCCGGTGAGTACGCTTTATATACCATGAGCACCTATGTACCATTAGGCAGCTGATTCCAAAGCAGGTTAAATTTCAGCTGATGGATCCAGTCAGTCTCTCAATCCAAGTCTGCTAAGAAATCCCCTCCCACCCCCACACAGTGCTCTGCCTGGTAGAACACAGGCCAAATCAACCCTAAGAATCATCCTGAGGTAGAAGATTATCCCTCAGTCCCCAGGAGGCTCAGCAGAATTACGGACACGGGAAGAACGGAGAGAAACGGGTGAGACGGCTAGAAATAAAGGGCCCGTGTTTCCTAAGGCAGGAGATCTTTCAACTCCGCAAATCCCTGCTCAACCATACACCACATACCCTGTTAATCTCAGTGGGAATTAAGATTCGGCCCGAAAACAAGAGCTTAAATAGCTCTCTTCTTGAGATGGCTCAAGCTGAGTTTGGTTCGAGGCTGGAGACATGGCTAACTGTCCACGTTCCCTCACAAATCTATCATTCTACTAAGTTACCCCAGTAAAAATTTTTTCGAAAACGGCCTACATCTTGAATAAAGGTCTATGTAAAATATATTCTAAAATATAACCGGAAAAAAAATCTTAACAGCTGCCTTTTGTTCCCAAAACAATTTGAAGGCCTCCCTCCTGGAGGGAATTGCTCGTTTATTTTAGTGGTTCCCTCGGTGACTTCCTCCCATTCTTTCCCTTCTCTAGCTCGGGAACTCTGGAAGAGTACAGTTGACGGAGCAGGCTGTGAATACCTGGAGAGCTGGGGGCGAGGGGGCCTTTTCCCTGTAAAATAATCCCCCAAACTGATCTGAATACTTACCAGGTAAGAGTGTGTACACACACACATAGACATAGACATACATATGCATGTATATATAAATACACACCTATCTATGCCTTTTTGAAACAGTCTGCCATTTCTGACATGAAGAGGTCCCCTCTTTCACTGTTGCTGTTCCAACACGTGGGGAATGAGGCGAGGGAGAGAAAGACAGAAACAAGGGGCTCCTCCTAATGGAACCAGCGAACTTCCCGGTGGAAAGGATGCCCACGCAGCCCCCCTCGGGAAGACAGATGAGAACCAGACCCGGCTCTCACATGTCGCCGGCAGCCTGGATTCGTTTGCATGTAGCCACTTTACAGATTTCAACGCCCCTGGGGTCTGAGCAGCAAGGCCCCTCTATCTGGCAATGGCCGTGGCTCGGGATCGGTCTCCCCGGTCATTCAGGACAGGAAAGTGTGTTCTTTTAAGTCTCCTGAGCGCACAGCCGCCCGTCTGGAGAAAAGCTGAAAACACCGCGGCAGCGTGTCAGCTCCAAGATGACTGGAGCCCGAGCAGGAAACAAGCCCCTTTTCCAAATAAAAGCCAGTGTTCTCTGTTCTTGTTTTCTCCACCGAACGTTCTGCTTCAGCGGGGTGAGCCCGGGCTGCACCCAGGGCTTTGCTGTAGCTTTGCCTTTAGCTTCTCTCTCTTTTTTTTTTTTTTTTTTTTTTTTTCTCCTTTTTTTTTTTT